CCAAGCCTGTGGCCTGTCTGCAGATGCGTTTGCAGGAGTTCGAAGACAAGGGCGACTGTGCATTGTGGTTCCCCAGCGCGTGGATGTGGTGTGCCCATCGGCACGTGGATGGTGTGGGCTGCTGCCGTGGCCTGGGTGTGGTGCATGTGTCCCCAGTGCCGGAGGCTCAGTGACCAGCGTGTGGGAGCCGAGGTGGCCACGGGCGCCTCCTCCCTGCGTGAATGGACAAGGCTGTTCTGAGGTTGGAGGGTCCCCTCAGGACTGACTCAGTTCCTCCCGAGTGAATTGTCACGGAAGCGCGAGTCTGGCCCACCCCGGCGAGCTGTCCAGCCCCCTCCGCACCTGCTCCCGCTGCCACAAGCCCCCCCCCTGGGCCCCACACTCCTGAGCCCCCTGAGGGGTGAGTTCAGCAACGCACCTCCTTTCCGAATGCTGCCTCTCAGGACTGCCGCTACAGCCACAGAAACCCGCCCCGCGCTGAGGCCAAGAGAATCCGCAGGAAGGGGGGTGCTGGCAGGGCCAGAAATGAGGCGGCGAGGCCAGCGGGCCACAGCGGGACGGCCCTCAGCATGCCCCCAGAGCAGAGTCCCAGGGGGAGGAGGGAGTGGACAGGAGAGCCCCCGGAGCAGCCCGGCTGGAGCCGTGAACAAGAGCAGAGGGGTGGGAGCGAGGAGTGGGGGGCGCCCCCCCCGGAGGTGAGTGCCGGGGAGGGGGAGTTCTCCCAGGGGCTGAGCTTGGGCCAGATGAGCAGTGCCACGGACTCCACCGGCCCCACGGGGGATGAGTGAGCCCCTGGGCCCTGGGCGGCAGGTGTGGGGAGGGGCGGTCGTGGGCCCACGGATGCTCGGAACAGAGCGTCTCCGTCACCCAGTTTCCACCTGCAGGGCGGCGTCCAGGGATGGGCCGGTGCTGCCCACCCCCATGTGCCCAGACACACGGCCTCGACTGGGGGAGGGAGTAGCGGTTCCCTGGTCACGGGATGCAAGAGTCCAGGCATCGTCCACGCTTGGGGCCTGCACTGGGCAGTGCCACCTCTGGACTGGACTCCCTCCTCCCGGCAGAGAACACTGCTCCGGCAGGCGGTGCCCTGGGAAGCTGCCCTGGGGTTCTTGTTTGTTCTTCCCCTGGGGTGGCCTGGGAGCCAGGAAGGGAGGAGCCGTGTGGGAGAGCTCCAGGCCCTGCCTCCTCTGCAGGCTTCCTGTGCCATGGGGTTGGTGCCGAAATCCCGGTGGTGGAGCCTGGGCCTCGCGGCCTGCCCGGTGGCCCTCGCCTGTGTCTCCTCGTGGCCTGCCCGGTGGCCCTCGCCTGCGTCTCCTCGCGGCCTGCCCGGTGGCCCTCGCCTGCGCGGAGGGCGCCCATCTGCTGGTTCACTCCCTAAACGCCTGCAACAGCCCAAGTGCTGGAGCCAGGAGCTAAGAACTCAGGTGGGTGGCAGGGACCCGGTGACTTGAACCGTCTCTGCCGCCTCCCTGCCCCGGCTGTCGTGGGCAGGAGGCTGGAGTCAGGACACAGGGCCCTGACCGCCAGGCCTGCTCCACGGAGCTCTAGTTCTAACTCCTGTTTCCAGCCTGGGTGCTGGGCGGTGTGACAGAGCGGGGGCGGCAGCCTAGGGAGGAAGTGCTCTCTGCAAGACTGATTCTGCTTAGCTCAGACGTCCTGGGCACGGACTTCTTTGACGATGACTGCACTGAGGTCACTGAGCCACTGGAGCGAGAACTGACCCGGGCGCTGGCGGGACTCGGGGCGTGCCGGCCGAGCCGACCGAGCTGACCGGGGCGCTGGCGGGACTCGGGGCGTGCCGGCCGAGCCCACCGAGCTGACCGGGGGCGCTGGCGGGACTCGGGGCGTGCCGGCCGAGCCGACCAGGGGCACTGAGCTGGCCAAGCCGACCGAGCTGACCGGGGGCGCTGGCGGGACTCGGGGCGTGCCGGCCGAGCCGACCGAGCTGACCGGGGGTGCTGGCGGGACTCGGGGCGTGCCGGCCGAGCCCACCAGGGGCACTGAGCTGGCTGAGCCGACCGGGGTGCTGGCGGGACTCAGGGCATGCCGGCTGAGCCGACCCGGGTGCTGGCAGGACTCAGAGTGTGCCGGCTGAGCCGACCCGGGGTGCTGGCGGGACTCGGGGCGTGCCGGCCGAGCCGACCGAGCTGACCGGGGGTGCTGGCAGGACTCAGGGCGTGCCGGCTGAGCCGACCCGGGTGCTGGCGGGACTCAGGGCATGCCCGCCGAGCCCACCAGGGGCACTGAGCTGGCTGAGCCGACCCGGGTGCTGGCGGGACTCAGGGCATGCCCGCGGAGCCCACCAGGGGCACTGAGCTGGCTGAGCCGACCCGGGGTGCTGGAGGGACTCAGAGCGTGCCCGCGGAGCCCACCAGGGGCACTGAGCTGGCTGAGCCGACCCAGGATGCTGGCGGGACTCGGGGCATGCCGGCTGAGCTGACTGGGGTGCTGGCGGGACTCGGGGCGTGCCCGCCGAGCCCACCAGGGGCACTGGGCCGGCTGAGCCAGCCGTGGGTGCTGGTGGGACTCAGCAGGCCAGTGGACAGGGCTGTTTTCCCAGGGTGGACTCCTCCCGGCTCTGCCATCACTGTAGTTCTGCTTCATGTCACTCCCAGTCTGTGCCTGAGTCTCTGCGTTTATGGGATGGGGCTAGGTCACCACACCTGGGCAGTGCCCGGCACACGGTGCACCTCCCGTGGATGGGGCTGTCTGAGCTGCAGGAGGCAGCAGTCGCCGTGGCTCCGTGGCTGCTCACTCGGAGGCCTGGGCTTGCACTGGCCTCGTGCCGGGACCAGCGCGGCGAGCCCAGCCCAGAGGGAAGGGACGGAGGACGCGGGTGGCCCTCAGCCGCAGGGTGAGGCTCTGGACAGACGGTGCATCCCACGGCCTGCGCTCTGCTCCGGCAGCAGGAAGCCTCTCTGCTGGGAAGGGGCCTGGTGCGGATCAGCGGGCAGCACCGTCACGCGTAGCGGAAGAGAGCAGATCCGAGCTGGGCAGAGCTCGGTCACCTCCCGAGGCGACAGGACGGTTAACAGGCACGGGGTGTCGTCGGGCGGGAGGCAGACTTTGAACGTTCTACAGTGGGGCACCTGTGGCTGACGGCAGCCAACTGTCTCAGAATCGCTGACCGGGGATCCTGTGAGTGATCCCCGGAGACAGGAGAGAGGTAAGCCGGGGGGGGAGGCAGTGGCCCTGCTCTGGTCATCGTGCGTCTGTCACACGAGGAAAGACCACACTGTACCCCGTCAGCACGTCAATCACTGCACGTCAATCACAACAAAAATGTTCAAAAATAAAAAGGTGAAGGGAAACCTTGGCTGCTCCTGTTCAGAAATGCTGACCAAGCATTTACCCGAGAGAAGGGTTGGGGTCGCGTCATGCACTGGCAGGATGGCGCAGAATGTCTTTGCTTTAAAATCCGAGGGAAAAATCAAGACTGGTTTCTATGTGTCACTGAGTTTTCCGGCCTTCAATTATGCTCTTACGACTAGCGACTCCACAGAAGCTGGGAGCCCAACCCAGTGGGAAGGAAGCAGGCACACGTGTCGGTCTAAAACTCAGCGTTGAGCTGTGTTTGTTGGCTGCGTTGAAAAAGCCCAACAACCACGCGTGAGATCGCTCAGTCGAAGCGGTTTTCTGCCTCTGCACCAGACGGTGCTGTGCGCGGGGCCACGCCGAGTGCCGGCCACCACACACGCAAACACAGACCGGCCGAGTGCGGGCCACCACAGCCGTTTAAGCGCGCGTGGGTTTTCTGGCGGATTTTGTGCACAGGTTCCAGGCTAGGAGGCAGCTCAGGGAGAGGGAGGCTGTGGACACGGTGGGAGGCTCATGGCTGTGCCCTCGCTGGGTGTGGAGGGCTCGTCGGGGGCCTGCCGTCTGCCTGGACCCTGGACTATGCCTGATGGGCCACAGCCTGGGTTTGGAGATGAGTGCCCGGTTCCCAGGCACTGGCTGGCTCTTAGAAACAGTGGGGACAGTGCCTCCAGCCTTGGTCCCTGACAGTCTCTCTTGGTCCCCCAAACCACAGTAACTGGCAAGAGAGCCATGGCAGGACGGACAGAGGACACCTCAGGACGCGGCCTCACTGGGGGCCAGATCCCTCCTGCCCCCCTCTCCCCATGACACCTTCCACGTCCGCAGAAAGCACACTGGTCCTCCCCGCCCAGGCTTCCGTTCTGAGCCCTGGCAGGACAGGGTGAGCCGGCGACCAGACAGCAAGGGAGGCAAGTGGAGACACCCACACGCCGGTCAGTGGGGGTGCTTGGAGGCCCGCAGGTGCATCTGTGGGAGGCCCTGCCGACAGACACATTCCAGCCTTGTCAGTCCATCGAGGCGACAGCCCCAGAGCGGGATCTGATGTGTTTATCCTAACCCCAGCCCTGCTGAGGCCACCGCCAGCGGTCAGCGCGAGGGCGGCTGGGCCCAGGTCTGCTGGAGTGGCCTGTGCCGGGGCGGGGCGGGGGTAGGTCTCCAGGGACAGATGAGGCAAGTCTTCCCTGACAGACTCAGGTGAAAAGGCGCAGTTCAGAGCCCCGAACAGGAGATTCTAGGTGTCAGCTGGCACCCGCGGTGCGTTGGGGCGAGGGGGGTGTGTGGAGTGGGGCGGCGTGGGAGCAGGCGCCCAGCCCTGTGCGTCCTCGATACCACTTTGATATTTCAGCGACGAGCACGAGGCTGCGAGTAATAACAGCTCATTTCCGAGGCCCTGCTTCTCGGCTCCCTGTCCACATCCTTTGAAGTCCAGCTCCTGCCCAGCTCGTCCCGCTCCCACTGGGGTAATGAGAGCTGCCGGCGCCTCACACCGCCCGTCTGTCTGTGCGTGCGTCTCGCTCATCCCGACTTGCACCCTGGGTAGTAATTAACCGCCCAGCCTCTCCAAATGATAGCTTCCCTGAAGGAGCCCACCACCGCGGCTCTTCCCGTCCGTCTGTGAAAGCGCCGGGGGCTGGGACCCTCATAGTGCCTGCCGGCCCCTCCAGGACGAGCGGGGGTCCCCAGAGGTTTAGGGGGGCAGCTGTCAGTCCCTGAGTGGAGCGTGGGCCCCCTTCTGTCCAGCCCACTCAGGAGGGGCGCCAGCCATCCCGGGGAAGGGCGGCCGCAGCGTCCAGTGAGTGGACACAATGCCAGTAGGGCGGCTGGGGAGCTTCACCCGCGCTCAAATGTCACCTTCAGGTAGTGCGAGTGAGTGAGCGTGATGATAACTGCCGAGACATCGCCTGAGCGAGTGCCTGGCCTGGCCGGCTCCGGGCCTCCAGACACCCCCACCCCAGCCCCGGGTGCTAGGGGAGGGTTGATGGAGAGGTCACGGGGGAGATGGCTGGCCTGATTTATGGCTCTGTAATGACAGCACTTAGCATTCCAGCAGGGCTCTCATCCCCAGCGCTCGGGCAGGAGGCAAACAGCCCTCGGCACCCTGGGCTCTCAGCTCCGGAATCCGGGGTGTGGCCTGGAAGTGCAGGGCCCCTGTGGTGGGTGGGGGGTCTCCTCGCACTCTCAGAGTAGGGAGGGGTTTTCAGGAGCTCGTGGGGTGCCCACACGGGCCCTGGGGGCTCACTATGTCCTGCGGTGGGGGGGCTTGTTCTGGTCCTTGTTTTCACACAGGTCGGCCAAACCCTGGCCGCAGTGTAGGACGAGCGCGGCACAGTTCCGGTGGCCGAGGACCGAGTGGGTGTGTGGCTGCCCCCAGCTCCAGTCATTCTGCAGCGTGTATGCTTGTTCCTGGTCACTGTTTGAGGGGGGCTCGGTCATTTCTCAGCAAGAGGACTGACGGGCAGAGCAAGTGAAGCCGGCCTGGGTCGGCCATGATGGTGATGAAGGCTGGCCACGCCCCCTGGACTTGTGCAGTGCACACGGTGTGGGGGTGGGGTGTGGGCAGCACAGCCCACAGCCTGGGAGACAAGGCAGGGTCAAGGCCTGGCCGATGCCCCAGAGGCCAGAATCTGGGTGAGGCCACCGCAGCCGGAGCTGACCGCTGAGGCGAGGGGAGCCCCCACCCTGGGGACCCAGCGTTCACCACCACCAGCTCCGCCTCCCTGGAGCTCGACGACTCTGACCTTGAGACGGTTCAGGTTTGAACCCCTATACAGTCTATACCCGCTCCCCTCTGAGCCCCTCAGACCCAGCAAGGCCAGGATGCTCCGGCCGTGTAGACGCCCTGGAGGGAGCAGCCTCAGAGGCCCTTGCTGGCAGCCGCTGGCTTCCGGGACCCAGGCTGCCACCTGTGCCAGCGTCGTGGGGGCAGAAGGGGAGGAGGAGGAGACGAGGAAGAAGGAGGGAACCCAGGCGCCAGACGCCCAGGCCGTGGGCTTGCTGCTGCTGCGCACCCGTGGGGGACTTGGGACCCACGCTGTACGTCCTGCTTCTAGACGCGGGGACGACAAACCCGTCCTGGAGCTGGCACCGGGCCGAGAGCCCCGAGCCAAGCCAGATGGGTGGCGGGCTGTGCTGTGGGCAGTAACCAACCCGAGGCGCTTACGTAACTCACTCCCAGACAGCAAGCAGCTCCCGGCTCCTGCAGCTGCCCCCGCCTGGAGTGGACCGACCGGCTGAGCTGCCCTCCCAGTCACGGGGTGTGCACCGGAGCCCGCCCAGGAAAGCGCTTCGCTAAGCCCCTGAGCAGGCTCGGCCAGCCGGGACGGCGGGGCACGCCCAGGCCCACACCCGCCGGGCAGACTGGCCCTTCCGGCACCAGGCCGGCCGCCCTCCCTGCCCTGCCGGGGACTCTCTCCCACCCCCGGAAGCTGAGCAGAACACGAGGGGCAGGAAGGGGCAGGGTTCCTAGCAGCAGGCTTCCCAGGGAAACACGCCGGCTTCTGAGTCGAACCTGTGAGGTTGTGGCGGCTCAGGCTCCCGACTCCGGGAGCGGAGGACTTCGGGGCAGGGTCTCCGAGGATCCCCGGGGGGGGGTGCCAGGTGCCCCCCGGGTCTCAGCCCATCTCCTGTCTGGGAGGGGCCCGCACCCAGTGCAGGCGTCTCCCGTTCCCAGTGCAGGCGTCTCCCGTTCCCAGTGCAGGCGTCTCCCGTTCCCAGTGGGAGGCTTTGCATTTTGCAGGCCAACGGGAAGATGTTTCACTTAGAGGCAGCGACGGCTGAAGCGGCTTTTCTAGGCATGCACAGGGGTCCGAGAGCCGGAGAACCCACAGGTGTGCAGGACATGGGTGAACCCTGAATAGGGAGGCAAAGGGGTGTTGTGGCGGAGTGGGCTCAGCCTCCACCCGCGGTGCCAGCATCCCATACAGGCACCAATTCCTGTCCCGGCTGCTCCTCTTCCGATCCGGCTCTCTGCTGTGGCCTGGGAAAGCAGTAGAAGATGGCCCAAGTCCTTGGTCCCCTGCACCCACGTGGGAGACCTGGAAGACGCTCCGGCCGTTGCGGCCAATTGGGGAGTGAACCAGCGAATGGAAGACCTCTCTCTGTTTCTCCCTCTCCCTGTCTGTAACTCTGTCTCCCAAATAAATAAATAAAATCTTTTTAAAAGTAAAATAAAAAATACACTTTGCTCACTCAACGTCGCTCGGGGAGCCTCAGCTGTGCTCCTCATGGAAGTTTCTAGAAACCCCATGAAAGGCGCTAGAATGAAGGACACACGCCTCCCACGCCTTCAGAGCCTGAGAAAAGCTCCACGACCACGCTTCTCTGAAAACCTAATAGATACCACGGAGACCGCCGCCCAAAGACCCGCCCAGACCCCCTGCCCCCTCCCTGCGAGACTCCGCCCAGCACGCCCGCGGGCGCGCCCTTGGCTGGTCCCCGAGCATTCTGTGGGCAGCCAAGCCTCGTCCTCCCAGGTAGTGGGGTGCATTCTCAGCCACGGGGCCCCGGCTCCCAGTGAGGGCGGCCTGATCCAGGTGATTCGGGGTGTGGAAGCCGAGGCCACCCGGGCCCAGCACGGGGGCTGGCAGGATGGAGCCTGCTCGAGGCTGGCAGGTGCACTGGTCTCACCTGTTTTCCCCGGCACCACGCAGAGGCTGGAGATGCAGCGTCCGCCGTGTGGTCTGCCGCACAGCAGGCCCCCTGCAGAGGCCCGGGGGCTCCACAGCGGAGGGAGGGGCCTGCAAGTCAGGGACCCCTGGGGCCCCCTGCCCCTTTGGGACCACAGCCTCCGTGCCAGGCTGGGACAGTCAGCTCGGGGACCACCATGAGTTCCCAGTTTGGGGACGAAGATCGCTTTAGTCATAGCACACGTGTAGGAGACCGGGCTCTGGTGGGCCCCATTCCACGGCAAACGCTCTGTCCTATATTGCCGGAACCCGGCTGATGCTCTGGGAACAGAATGAAACCCAAGTTCCTCCGCTCTCACCAGCTGTGCACGCGGAGTTTTTGGCTCCTGGGCGAGTCTGTCCGCAAAGGACAAGGCCCTGAGGAGGAGCTGCTGTCTGCCGGGCGCCAGGCGCCGGGACGGAGCCAGCACCTCTGGGACCCGGGCCCGGGCTCCGCTCCACCCGGTGAGACGGGAGCCCTGCTGGAGACAGGCGGTCACGGCCTCTGTCCCATACGGCCCTTCCCTCAGCCCACACCGTACCACACGTGCGCACACACAGGCATACACAGCACACAGTACACACTCATGCACACACACAGGCACATGCACACTACACATGCAAGCACACGCAAATCCACAGATTACACATGTACACAAGGCACATGAGGCACACACATGCACATAAACAGGTGCGCACACACCAGACATGCAGGCACACACATGAGTCCACACATTATACACACATGCAGTCATGCATAAGCACATGAGGCACACACATGCACATAACATGTAGGCACACACTATACATGCAAGCACACACAAATCCACACGCATTGCACATGCAGACACACGCAGCATTGCCACCAAGTCTTCGTGCACAGTTAAGCGGACGTGAAGCTGTGTCGCTCCTGCGGCCCTCCTCGGGGTGGATCTCGGTCCTGCAGGACACAGGGCAGGTGTGAGGTGCTTCAGAGCGCGAATCCCCGTCTCTCCAACAAAACACTGTGTTAACCCCTAACAAAGGGTCTGCGCACGGCTCTGGTCCATTCAAGCCATCCCAGCTGGTAACCAGGCACAGACTGACACGGTTCTAAATACATTATTTATTTTGTTTAATAATTTATAACACGCCCATCAATAATGCATCCAGCTGGAGAAGGCGAATTCACCCCAGGCCACGCACCAAGGCCCCCGGGACGCCTCGGGCCTCCGTCGGCACGCTGCAGCCAACACGTTCCCAGAGTCCGTCCAGAGAAACGAGGCCAGGCCGGCCTGGACGCACGCCTCCCTGACCCCCCCACCAACGAGGGGGCTGCTGCTTCCTCCAGCCCAGGCCCGTCTCGGCGGTGTGGCCGGCACGAGGCCGGAGTCCCGGCTCTGGAAGATCCGCGGACTTGCAGAGCAGGCCCGGGATGGAGGCCGCGGCGGGAGTCGGCTGGGTGTGCTGGGGGAATCCCGCAGGAGGGGGACCTCACAGCCAGCGGCACCCGGAGTGGTGCTGGGAGACGCTGGCTGCGTGTTCCTTCCCACACTGGAGCTTGTAGGGTCCATTCAAGGGGCCGGCGCTGTGGCGCAGCCGGTTGAAGCCCCGGCCCGCCGTGCCGGCATCCCATATGGGCGCTGGTTCGAGTCCCAAGTGCTTGGGCCCCTGCACCTGCTTTGGCCTGGTCCGACTCTGGCTGTTGCAGCCATGTGGGGAGTGAACCAGAAGAAAAATGCTCTTTATTAAAACACACAGACAAGAAAAACCCAGACACAGGGGACACAGGCCGTGTAAAATCCAGCCTTCGCAGGCGGAAGCCCTCGGCCCTGTGGTGGAGGAGGCCTGGCGCTGAGCACCGGCTCAGGGACACAGGGCAGGGCGGGGCTTGTCCGGCAGAGGCTCGTTCTGGGTGCCCCTCTGTGGTCCTTACAGGGAGGGGGCGTTGTTATGATTATTGCCGTTGGTGTTGTTTGCTGGCACCCCAGGAGGTTCCGCCGCGTGGGTCAGCAGGCGGCACCCGGAATGCTGAGGCTGGCTTCCCTGGAGAGGACGTGGCCTCTGTCCCCTGGGCCTCCGCGGCTCCTCTGTGTCCCGAGGGACCCGGCTGGCTCACCGCCCAGAAGGCAGCTCAGAGCTGGCTCACGGCTCTGTCCTGGGACAGGGACACCCAGGGGCTGGGCAGCTCAGAGCTGGCTCACGGCTCTGTCCTGGGCCGGCGTGGGGACACCCAGGGGCTGGGCAGCTCAGAGCTGGCTCACGGCTCTGTCCTGGGACAGGGACACCCAGGGGCGGGGGTGCTCAGAGCTGGCTCACAGCTCTGTCCTCGGTCGGTGTGGGGACACCCAGGGGCGGGGTGTGACCCTGAAGCCTTTATTCTTTTGAATAAAGAAAGTCAGAAGTTTGGGGTTGTAAATAGGACCTCCGAAACCCTGGCTGGCCTCCCTGGGCAGCCCCTCCCTGGTGGCTGAATCCCTGGACCCCGGTCCCCCAAGGCTGTGGGCGGGGTCTCCACAGAGGCGGGGCGCAGGGATGAGGCCCAGACGCTGTGGCTGTCCTGGCTCTTATCTGAGGTGTGGCGCTGGCGCCGGCCTTCTTCCAGACGGGGTGGGGGTGGGGGAGGGCAGCCTCTGCCTAGGAGAAGTGACCCCGTAACCTCGCTAGGAAGGTGGGGGGGGGGCGCAGCAATGCCGGGAACTCACTCCAGGCCCGTGCTTGGCCTCCCGGCAGCCTCCAGCTCTCCTCTCTCCCGGGAGCCGCCCGGTGTGGGGGGCCTGCGGCTGGGGGGCGCCGCACACCGCACACCGCGGCTCCAGCCAGGCCCCGCTGCCGGTCAGGCCCCTGTGGCTCTCAGCTCTCTGCATTCCAAAGGGAGAGGCCTGGACTTTGATCTCTGGGCTCCAGATCCCAGCCCCACCCGCACAGGCAGATGAGCGATCTCTTATCTGTGAGAGGTGGCTGTGGGCTTCCTGGGGCCAGGGCCGGGCGGGCACTGGAGCCAGGCACCTTCTCCAGACAAAACCCGAGCTGGGAAGGCTGCCACGAACCCACAGTCAGGACACCTGGAGCTCGCTTTTCTTTGTTTAAGGTTTATTTATTTATTTATTTGAGAGGCAGAGATGCAGAGAGGAGGAAAAACGAGACAGAGAGAGAGAGAGAGAGAGAGAGAGAGAGAGAATCTTTCATCCGCTGGTTCCACTTCCAAAATGCCTGCAATGGACGGGTTGGGGCAAGCCAAACCTAGGAGCCAGGAGGTACATCTGGGTCTCCCATGTGGGTGCAGGGGCCCAAGAACTTGGCCCACCTTCCACTGTTTTTCCAGGCCATTAGCAGGGAGCTGGAACGGAAGTGGAGCAGCCAGGACTTGAACCTGTGCCCACAAGGGATGCCAGCATCCCAGGCAAGGGCTTAACCGTTGTGCCACAGCGCCAGCCCCACCGTGGGCTTCTAGAGCTGCCTGGAGCTGGGGTGCTCTCAGTGGGAGCCACAGGAGAGCCTCGAGGGCTTCGTTTTGGGGAAAGGAGCCAAGTGAATCCCGCTCAGGGCATGGCCGTCCCCCTGAGGGCTTGCCGGGTGCCGCAGACGCTGTCCCCAGGGAAAAGCCGCGGGTGCTGCGCCCAGGCGCACAGGGCTCCCGGCTGTGAGTGGGGAGCCCTCCCTGAGGCTGTGGCTGCGCGCTTCTGGCTGGTTGGAGCAGCTCCAGGCA